TTTTTTGCTTTATTTTTATAGTGCAGCTCTTCGCATTTTTTCCGCCGCTGTTTTGGCTCTCTTTGTTAAATGGGTTGGCCACCCCTGGGCTAGATCCTCAGTTGGTATAAGATGACATTGCTCCATTGAGGGCCTAGATTATGAGAGCTCCTTTTATAGCAGGCAAATAATAACCTTTTAAAAAATCAGTGTGAACTATATGAGTGGTTGGAGCTTTAGAGTACCAGAGCCACTGTATAATAAAAACCTGGCACAGAGAGATTGCTGTCATCGAGAAATGGTAGGTTGTTGCATTAAATAAAAGCAATAGATGAATAAATCCATTTGCTTGCTTGCCGTTGCTGCCAGCCTTTAAAGCTATGATTAAGTTTTCTGTTGCTGGCCAGGTTTAGTATTTTATTTTTATCTCATTTTCTTATATGTCTGCTTTTCACACACACCCTCCACCCCCACCCCAATGAAATCCTGACTCTAGTCATGTCTCCTGAGACACCTTCCTATAAAAGCATCTCTTACAGTAGAGAGCAATCTCTGAAAAACCACAGACTTCTCTGGGAGGAGTTTGCTCATTCTTTTTATATGGATCACTTAAAATCTTCAAAGACCAGCTGTACCTATGTATTAATGCTCATGCAGGACCATATGTTCTGCTTCTGCGTAAACCCCCTGTAAGGAGAACAGTTACATAAAAATCTCTGTAGCTTTTGTTGCTGCGAACAACTGCTGCATGCTCCCTTTGGTAAGATTGAGATGTGCGGATATGGAAGAAATAAGGGCTCGTGATTTTAATTCCATACACAGACTGGAGACATACCAACCCTCTATGCACGTTGTTATTTTTTGCCTGTTTTCTCCCTCTCCTCTACCTATGCAAAATGGGCCATACTTATCAGTCAGTCACTGAGAAATCTAGACTATATACAATAGCTAGGCACAATAGTGGGCCTTAAATTAGCTTTTTCCAGTGTTGTGGTGTTCTGGATAAACCAGACCCTTTAATATTGTTTTCACATTCTGTATGTGAATTTCCTTTTAACTTTAGTAGTGTTGTATGTTATACATTAAAAATAAGAGAGAAACTAAATCTCTCATAGAATACAAATGGAATTCAAATACCCATACAACTCAAAACAGTCACATGAGCCATTCTTGCCCACTCCAGTAGCTCCCATTGGCTTCTACACTTTTTGCTGTTCATGTGATTAAGATCTATAGACAGGTGTAGAGGATTGGTGGTACTTATCCTTCTTTCTGTAGTCTAGGGTAAGAAGTGCAAGATGAGAACAGTTTATACTACAGGACCTAGAGATCTTCTGGTAAACACCATTAACATATAGAATAAGGAAAACATTTTATGGTGTTATAAGCCATTCCAAGGCTTAGTGGTATAGTAATGTGAGAGACAATTTGAGGGTAACTTAGGGCATGTCTGCATGAACAAAGAAGATCAATCCACCGGAGGTCGATCTAACATTCAATTTAGTGGGTCTAGTGTAGATCCCCAAATTGAATGCTGAGGGCAGCCCCCGCCAGCGTCCTGTACTCCTCATTCTGCGAGGAGTAAGGGAAGCTGATGGGAGTAGCATTCCTGTTGGCCTCCCGCAGTTTAGACTAGGGATATAAAATATCAGTTAATTGAATGGTTGATTAACCTCATGAATTCTTATCAGTTAGTCAACTATTCTATATTCCCTAGGCAGCCCCTGTCCAGGGAGGGGTCTGAGTTCCCGGACCCAGTGCGAACTGGAACTGAGCCAAGCTCGCTGCCCACCTGGCTCCTAATACACTTTAAATGCAGAGTAACAGCAGGGGTAGGTCCCAGACCTGGCGGAAGCCAGGACTGAGCCAGGCTGCTGACCAGCCTGCTAAAAAATGTACTGTCTGGAGGGGAAATGTGTGTAGTCTATAGCTTTAACCTATAAGCTTTTGTTTATCGGTTAATCGGTTAATGGACTACACTATTACATCCCTAGTATAGACGCTGCAGCGGCTCAGCTTAAGTTAAGCTGAATCCAGCTATGCATTTTGCATAGCTGGATGGTGTACCTTAAGCCGACCTGTTACGGACTTGGTTTCTTAGCCAATGGATATGGCATCATTCGTATTTATGTGTGATAGAAAGCCAGTTTACATTGCCTTTAGAGCATCTTCCTTGTGGCTGCAAAGGTATGAATTAAACTTACTGATGCAGAAGGAGAGAGGCGTCAAAAGTGCTCAGAAACATGATCTCTTTATATTGATGCAATGTAATTGCTTGTGTGAAAATCTTCAGTACTTTCATGTGTGCTCTTTTCCTATTATCCTCTTTCTATTTGATGGTAGCCAAAAAATGTGCAATTAATAAGAGACTGTGCTTCAACATCTCCTAACACAAAGAAAACAGCAGAATTACAGAGCAGAAAATGAACGTATTTTCCCCAAGGAAGGCCAACTGGGTTCAAAGAGCAAATAGTTGATTACTAGAATAAAAAGTGTTAATGCGATTCAGTGAGATGACGCTCAAGCCAAAATGTGACAAATATATGACTGCAGATTACAAGTGAAAATAGGAATGGAATTTTAAAGTGATGTTACATGCCACTAGAAATATACTTGTCATCAGTGCAGGTTAGATATGTGCACAGATATACATGTGTTCGTTATGTAGTCTTTACACCACAGTATTACAATGTATTTATAAAGAGCCATGCAGGGTATGTAACATGGTCCAGTAGGTAAATGGGAAAGATTACGTGAAAGCTAAATCTTAAAATGTCCTTGTTTTTATCTTAATGGTTAGATTTTTTTTTATATAAGGTTTTTAATTACATAGTGTCTTTTAAATATTAGTTTAAAAGGGAAGGGACAGATTAATCCCGGAGGTGACCCCATTGGAGTTATACCAACAAAGAGGTTGGCAAGAATCACCACTGTCTTTCTCCTGTTTTATACTAGTGGTAATACCATTGTTTTCAGGACAGTAAGGTCAGGTCTACACTACACCCAGAAGGTCAGCTTAAATTACGCAATGCCAGATAAGTTATTTAAATAACATAGCTGGATTCAGCGTACCTTAAGCTGAGGTTGGTGCCGTCCCCACAGTGGGAGGCTGATGGGAGAAAACGCTCCCATTGACTTCCCTCTGTGAGGAGTACCTGTGCCAACAGGGGCACCCTTAGCTTTTGACTGAGTGGTTCTTTGCTAGACCTTCTAAATTGAATGTTGGAAGATCGACCTCTGCAGTGTCGATCTTCCCGCAAGAGGAGACGCAGCCTTACACTGGCATAAGTATGAATTTATCACAGTAGCAAATAAAGCCCTGTGTGTTTATATTTCTTTTAACAGAATGTTCAGTTGTTTCTTAGGTATGATTTTGAGTCTAGTTAACTTGGACTATAATATAACTTACTTAAATGAGTTTGTGCTTCTAGTGCAACACATTCATAATAAGATGTCAGGTATTTGTGCAGAACAAGAGGAAGAGATGCTGAGAGATGGCTATCAGCACAACCAATGGGACTTGCTAATAACTTCAATTCCTTTTCTGCGGCATAATCCTTCATAGAGGATACTGTTCTTTGGAACTAGTACAAGCATCACAACATTTTCATTTCACCCCTGCCCTGACTTTGTACTCCACAAACTCCCGCTTTGCCTGTTATGGAAAACAGTCCCTTTCCTGAGACTTCCAGTTGTCATGGCACAACTGAACTCTGAGCTTGCTTTAAGTTAGGAGAAGAGGAAGCTGCATACCAAATTTGGTGGCCCTACCTCTTACTGTTTAGGAGAAGTTCTTGAACAAACAGACTCATAGCCAGACACACAGACAGCCAGATATGCTCATCAGTAGATAGATAATGGAAGGGGAACAAAAGAATACAAAGGCAGAAAGACTGAATAAATCTCCCATTTTTTTATGTTCATGGTTGGAAAGTATCATTTGAAGGTGCAAATATTTCAGGTCAATCAATAATAATGTAGCTTTAGTACCCTCATGATCAAGATGAAGTCTGCTCTGCAGGCAGCTCTGAAGAGTAGGCATGTGCAAGAATGCAGCAGGGAAAGTCTCTTCTACCCCAGAGGCACCTGTTTCAAACCCTCCAGCCCCAAGTAAACACAGACACATTGTAAAGTACAATGAAAATAGGGAAAGGAAATATTTATTTATAGAGGGATGAGAGAAGAAAAACAACAGGCAGAAATAGAAGGGGAATGGTAAAACAGGAATCAAGGCCCCACAGGTCCAGTGGTACCACAGTCTAAAAGGGCAGACACTGAACAATGTGACTGCACACATAGTTCAATGGTCCTGGACAAAGTTTTAGTACAGTAGTGAGTCTTGGGTGCTCCTATTCATTTTTGGTGCCACTAAACTTTCCCCAACAAATCACTCCAGAGCCCTCTTCTTCCGTGCTCTGCAAAGCCACACGGAGCGACAACTCCCCCGGCCCCCCCCACACTAAACTAGGGTATGTCTACATTACAAAGTTAATTCTAACTAACAGCTGTTAGTACGAATTAACTTTCATAGGCGCTACACATGCAAACCGCTAGTTCGAACTTAATTCAAACTAGCGGAGCACTTAATTCGAACTAGGTAAACCTCATTCTACGAGGACTAACGCCTACTTCGAATTAAGTAGTTCGAATTAAGGGCTGTGTAACCACTTCATTCGAACTAGTGGGAGGCTAGCCCTTCCCAGCTTGCCCTGGTGGCCACTCTGGGCCAAGCCATGGAAACTCTTCTGCCCCGCTCCCGGCCCCGGAGCCCTTAAAGGGCCACGGTCTGGCTACGGTGCCTGTGCCAGGTGCAAGCCTGCCAGCACTCAGCCAGCAGACCCTGCACCTGACACAGCAAGCACCAGCCACCCGCTGCCACCCAGCCCTCCCCCTCTTCCCAGGACCAGGCTCACGGCTCCCAGGAGCCTGTCCGGGGCCACAGGAGGCAGGCGCCTCCCTGGTCTAGTGCGGAGATCGTGGACCTCATCTAGGTTTGGGGGGAGGCCTCCAACGTCCACAATCTCCGCACTAGGCACAGGAAAGCAGCTGTCTATGGCAGGATAGCTGCCAGCCTGGCCACCAAAGGCCACATGCGAACCAAGGAGCAGGTTTGCATGAAAATCAAGTTGGTCCAGTGAGACCCCTGACCCTGAGCCCTGAGCTTAGAACATAAAAACATAAGAACGGCCGTACTGGGTCAGACCAAAGGTCCATCTAGCCCAGTAGCCTGTCTGCCGACAGTGGCCAGCACCAGGTACCCCAGAGGGAATGGACCGAAGACAATGACCAAGCCCTT